GAGAGGCAGCCTACACAATATCCACACAGAGGTACAGACAGTAAAGGTGATGTTGCCATAGACCCCGAGCAGGAACACGGGGGCAGCAGGTGACCCGCAGCCACAGATCCAGACTCCACAGCTCAAAAGCCAGAAAACCTGCAGGAAGTGATAGGAGGAGAGAGGAGAGGGACGAGAAAGCACAAGACTACTGGAAAGGGGAGAAGTTGAGTTAGTAACATGCAATAATGGGATGAGGTTGCATACAGAGGGAGAGAAAGTAGAGGAGAGAGGAGCTCAGTGCATCATGGGAAATCCCCCGGCAGTTTAGGCCTATAGCAGCATAACTAAGGGATGGTTCAGGACTCACCTGAGCCAGCCCTAACTATAAGCTTTATCAAGAGGAAAGAGAAAGAGAGGAGCTTGATAGCTGAACTCTCTGGCTCCTAGTCTACTTTTGGAGACTCTAGGAACCACAAGTAACCCTGCATTCTGGGAGCGCAGTGCTCTGGTGGGGTAGTAAGGTACTATGAGCTCTTTAAGATAAGATGGTGCCTGACCATTAAGAGCTTTGTAGGTAAGAAGAATGATTTTAAATTCTATTCCGGATTTTACTGGAAGCCAATGCAAAGAAGCTAAGACAGGAGAAATGTGATCTCTTTTCCTGGTTCCTGTCAGAACACGTGCTGCAGCATTCTGAATCAGCTGAAGAGTCTTAATGGACTTTTTCGAGCACCCTGATAATAAGGAATTGCAGTAATCCAGCCTAGAAGTAACAAATGCATGGACTAGTTTTTCTGCATCATTTTTATTCCTGATTTTCGCAATATTACGTGGGTGAAAAAAGGCGTACCTTGAAATTTGCTTAATTTGAGACTTAAACGACATGTCCTGATCAAAGATAACTCCAAGATTCCTCACAGTGGTGCTGGAGGCCAGGGCGATGCCATCAAGGGAAACTATATCTTTAGATAATGCGTCACGGAGGTGCTTAGGCCCCAGAACAATAACTTCAGTTTTATCTGAGTTTAACATTAGAAAATTACAGGCCATCCAGGTTTTAACATCCTGAAGGCACATTTGAAGTTTAGCTAACTGATGATTTTCATCTGGTTTGATCGAAAGATATAACTGAGTATCATCTGCATAACAATGAAAGCTTATGGAATGTTTCCTGATAATGTTGCCTAAAGGAAGCATATATATAAAGTGAAGAGGATTGGTCTCAGGACAGATCCTTGTGGAACTCCATGACTAACTTTGGCGTGCATGGAGGACTCATCGTTAACATGTACAAACTGAAATCGATCTGATAAATAGGACTTAAACCAGCTTAGAGTGGTTCCTTTAATGCCAATGAAATGTTCCAGTCTCTGTAATAGGATCAATGGTATCAAATGCAGCACTAAGATCTAATAAAACCAGTGCAGAGACAAGTCCTTTGTCTGATGCAATAAGGAGGTCGTTAGTAATTTTCACCAGTGCTGTCTCTGTGCTATGATGAACTCTAAATCCTGACTGAAAATCCTCAAATAAACTATTGCTCTGTAGAAAGTCACAGCTGTTTAGCAACTGCTTTCTCCAGAACCTTAGAGAGAAATGGAAGGTTAGATATAGGTCTATAGTTGGCTAAAACATCCGGATCAAGTTTGGGCTTTTTCAGAAGAGGTTTAATTACAGCTACTTTAAAGTACTGTGGTACATAGCCTGTTGATAAAGATAGATTGATCATATCTAGTATAGAAGTGCTGACTAAGGGTAAAACATCTTTAAGCAACCTAGTCGGGATGGGGTCTAAGAGGCAGGTTGATGGTTTAGATGAAGAAATTACTGAAGATTGAGGGAAGCAAAACAGTCTAAACACACACATATCTGGTTCTACAGCTGTTTCTAAGGTTCCTGAGTTAAGAGATAAGTTGGTGCCAGTTGATGGCAGGTCTTAGAAATTTTAATATAACTCTAATAGCTAGAATTTTATCATTAAAGTAGCTCATGAAGTCGTAACTACTGAGAGCTATGGGAATACTTGGCTCAATAGAGCTGTGACTCTCTGTCAGCCTGGCTACAGTGCTGAATAGAAACCTGGGGTTGTTCCTATTTTCCTCTATTAATGATGAGTAGTACGCTGCTCTGGCATTACAGAGGGCCTTCCTATAAGTTTTAAGACTATCTTGCCAAATTAAACAAGAATTTTCCAGTTTGCTAGAACGCCAATTCCTCAAGTTTCCACAATATTTGCTTTAATTTGCGAGTTTCAGTGTTATACCTTGGAGCTAACCGTCTTTGTTTTATTATTTTCTTTTTTAGAGGGGCTACAGAGTCGAGTGTCATTCGCAGCGAGCCTGCAGCACTATCAACAAGATGATCGATTTGGGAGGGACTGAAATTAGCATAGGAGTCCTCCGTTACTTTGTGACTTGATAATGAATTTAGAGCTGATGGAATCAAAATCCTTAAATTTAGCTACAGCACTATCAGACAGACATCTTGTATAGAAATTTTTGCCCAATGGTGTGTAGTTCAGCAATACAAACTCAAAAGTTATCAAACAGTGGTCGGATAAAGAGGGATTCTGTGGGAACACTATTAAATGTTCAATTTCAATACCATATACCAAAACAAGAATGAGGGTGTGGTTAAAGCAGTGAGTCGGTAAACGCAGATAAACGCAGTACTGAAGCTGTCATTCTCAACGTCCACATGAATATTAAAATCCCCTACAATAATAACTTTGTCCGTTTTAAGGACTAAAGTTGACAAAAACTCTGCAAATTCAGATAAGAATTCAGAGTACGGACCAGGCGCTCGGTACACTATAATGAAGAGAATTGGTTGCAGTGATTTCCAACTTGGGTGCGAAAGACCAAGAACAAGGCTTTCAAATGAGCTATTGTTTAGTTTAGGTTTAGAGCTGATTAGTAGGGTAGAGTGGAAGATAGATGCAACTCCACCTCCTCGGCCTGTGCCTTGAAGAATGTGAGTATTAAAATGACTGGGAGGGGTGGATTCATTTAGGCTAACATATTCTCCATCACCCAGCCAGGTTTCAATAAGACAAAATAAATCAATATCATAATCTGATATTAGTTCATTTACTAGTACACCTTTAGTAGAGAGAGATCTGATGTTTAAGAGTCCACATTTAATTTTCCTATTCTTAGTTTATTATTAGTTTGCACACATTCATTACCCTGAATGACATCATTAAGTTAGTGGGCATGATGAAACCTTCCCCAAAGCCCTGTTGATATTTTACCTGCATCTACTTGGCCCATGTTTGGTTTCAATTTTAAACTTATCTCTTCAGCTGGGCCAAGTCCCCAGCTGTTTCAAGCATGCTGTTGTTCAACCTATCTTGAAAAAGAACAATCTTGATGCAGCTTCATTTAGAAACTATAGGCCTATTTCTAAATTGCCATTTCTTTCAAAAATTCTACAAAAGGTTGTTGCGAACCAGCTAAATAATGTTTTGGATTCCCATAATATCTAATATAAAAATTCTAGTTTACCTAAAAAAAAAAAAAAAAAAAAAAACATTCAACTGAGACTGCTCTCCTTAAGATCTCAAATTTTGATGGCTGCTGATGGGGGTAAATGTTCTGTGCTGGTTTGATACTGTTGATCACTGCACTCTGATTGATAGACTGAAAACAATTGTGGACATTACTGGATCAGCTCTGAACTGGTTTTCCTCCTATCTCTCTGACAAGAGTTTCTCTGTGTCCATAGGAACATATTTTCAGACTCTGCTCCTTTGTCCTGTGGTGTGCCTCAAGGTTCCCCTGCTGTTCAGTCTGTATATGCTTCCTCTTGGCAAGATTAGTGGTAGCTTTGAAGATATATCTTATCATTGGTATGCTGATGACATCCAATTATATTTATCTTTTAGTCCTCATAGGCTAGACAATCTGTATGTGTTGCACAATTGCTTAGCCTCCATTAACAAATGGATGGCTGACAACTTCTTGCAACTAAATAAAGACAAAACTGAGGTGGTGATTTTTGCCCCAGACAACGTTACCCCTAAGATCAGGCAGGCCATTTGGGCTCTATCACCCTCTGACGGTAATGTTGTGCAAAATTTGTCATTTTTGGCAAATCTATGTGTCATGTTAAATATGTGGTTATTTCCTGTTTTTTCCATCTCAGGAACATCGCTAAGATTAGATCTGTGGTTTCCAAAGAAGAGATGGAGATGCTTGTTCATGCTTTTATTTCTTCTTGTCTGGATTATTGCAATGTACTTTACTCTTGATTATACAAATCCTCCATGGAAAAACTGCAAGTTGTACAGAATGCAGCTGCAATGTTTTTTTCTAAAACCAACAGGAGATCACATATTACTCCTGTGCTTAAGGCTCTTCATTGGCTTCCAATTGGTTTTAGAGTACATTTTAAAATTTTAATCATTACTTACAGAGCCTCGCATGGTCAAGCTCCCTCTTACATCCAGGATCTGTTGCATGCACGCTCTCTGAGGTCTTCTGGCCAAGACCTTTTAACTGTTCCCACAACACACAGACATAGATGTATGTAAATACTTCTATTTCCCAAGGAAAACCTCTGGATATGACACTCAGCATGTGTGCTCAACTTCTTTGGTCGACCATGGCGAGGCCTGTTCTGTGTTGAACCGCTGTATGGTCTTGGCCACCGTGCAGCAGCTCAGTTTCAGGGTCTTGGCAGTCTTCTTAGCCTCGGCCATGTAGAGCAGCCGTTCTTTGTTTCAGATCCTCAGAGAGTTCTTTGCCATGAGGTGCCATGTTGAACCTCCAGTGACCAGTATGAGGGAGTGTGAGAGCGATAACACCAAATTTAACACACCTGCTCCCCATTCACACCTGAGACCTTGTAACACTGACGAGACACATGACACCGGGGAGGTCCCTCCTTTTACAGTCTATCATCGCTGTGCTCCATGTTTGTTACCCGTGTAAGACCTGTGACATCACTTCCTTTTTCAGGGGCCACTTGGTTGAACAGAGGGTGAATGAGACCTTTCATCATCTATGTGTTTACAGACCTGCTGGTTCAGCCCAACATCACTGTGTCCTCCTCCATGGATGGGGTCTCCAAGGCCCAGCAGCAGGGGTTTCAGGTGTCCAGGGGCTCCACCTTCACCATCAGCTGCTCCATCCAGCCACAGTACCCAGGAGGCTCCTTCCAGCTCGCCTTCACCTCCTCCAACACATCACACAACTACACCCAGCCAGCTGTCAATCACTCTGCCCACTTCCTGTTTCCTGCTGCAGAGCCCGCCCACCAAGGAAGCTACAGCTGTGTTTATCACCTCCATGTTTTTTCTCATAACTTCTCCTCTGAGAGCCGTCGGCTGTCTCTCACTGTCTCAGGTAAGCTGAAGCAGAGCAGCTGAAACGTCACACTGACTGTTTCCATGCAGCTTTGGAAAAGATGATCCGTCCAAACTGACTGAACACGATCGCTGTTTCCAAGCATGTTGTGTTTTCTGACTGACTCTGTGACTGATGTCAGGTACGGTGGCCCTGAGACCTGAGCTAACATGTACGTTTTGGTGGCGTTTTCCTGTCGTGCCCAGTGTGTTCGTCACTTTTTAGTTTTCCCTGGTAACAGTTTCAATTGTCTTCTGTGCTACTTGCAGCATTTATGTATTTACAGTGGTTTAAAAAAAGCCCCCTTCTTGATTTATTATTATTTTGCATGTTTGTCACCCTGAAATGTTTTAGATCATCAAACTAATTTAAATATTAGCCAAGTTAACACAAGGAAACACAAAATGCAGTTTCCAAATGAAGATTTTTTTATTATTAAGGGGAAAAAATCCAAACCTATATGGCCCTGTGTGAAAAAGTGATTCCCCCCAAAACATAAATCACCTGTGGTTAATTACATATTTGGAAAGAGTTCAGTTTTTCTAGCCACACCCAGGCCTGATTACTGCCACACCTGTTCTTAATCAAGAAATCACTTAAATAGGACCTGCCTGAAAAAGTGAAGTAGACCAAAAAATCCTCAAAAGCTAGACATCATGCTGCGATCCAAAGAAATTCAGGAACAAATGAGAAACAGAGTAATTGAGATTTATCAGTCTGGAAAAGGTTATAAAGCCTTTTCTAAAGCTTTGGGACTTCAGCGAACCACAGTGAGAGTCTGTGGTAAATGGAACCATGAATTCTGCTGTCTCCCAAAAAATCCTGAAGGAGAATGTCCGGCCATCTGTTCGATACCTCAAGCTGAAGTGCACTTGGGTTCCGCAGCGGGACAATGATCCAAAATACACCAGCAAATCCACCTCTGAATGACTTAATGAAAACAAAATGAAGACTTTGGAGTGGCCTAGTCAAAGTCCGGACTTGAATCCAGGTAAAAGAATGGCTTGAAAACCCTCCAATGTGGCTGACTTACAACAATTCTGCAAAGATGAGTCGGTCAAAGTTCCTCCGCAGCGCTGTAAAAGACTGCCAGTTATTGCAAACGCTTCATTGCAGTTGTTGCTGCTAAGGGCAGCACAAGCAGGTATTAGGTTTAGGGGGCAATCACTTTTTCACACAGGCTCCATGTAAGTTTGGATTTTTTCCCCCTTAATAATAAAAACCTTAATTTAAAAATGCATTTTGTGTTTACTTGTGTTATCTTTGTCTAATATTTCAACTTGTTTGATGATCTGAAACATTTCAGTGTGACAAACATGCAAAAATGCAAAAGAAATCAGGAAGGGGGCAAACACTTTTTTTTTACACCACTGTAGATGTTTTCTCACTTTGCAGCATCTTTTCTAAATGCTGTGCATGTGTTTCTCACCCTCCTCCTTCCAAACAGGGAGCTAGCTAAACTAAGCAGTAAACTCTGCATCAGGGTCCTCCACCATGTCCCCCAGCTAGCACTAGCCACAGCTGTCTTCTCCCTGGGCTTTGCAGTTGGGAAAGGCAGAGGTTGGTATTTGAAGCCACCAACACCCTGAAGCTCTGTTGCAGAGTCATTAGCATGGAGCTACAGCGCTCACAGGAGTCAGGGAGCGATACCTGGGCATGTTTAACTCCCACTCCGAGATGCAGAGGACCTGAGTTATAGTTTGGTAGGAAAACTACCACGTCAGCCCACATATAAAAATCTCACCCAAGTCCAGTTTTTTCCTACAGGCCAGAATCACACACCTAGCCAAAGCCTGCTTAAACGTGATTGGTCGATACTACCTGGACTACAAACTGAAACCAGATTGCTTCCTATACCAAAACCTTGTCTCTTGCTTCCAGATTCTGCATTCAGATATCTGTTGATAGAGATTACTGATGGACTGAAGTGGTTTTGGGAGATTTCAGGTCACTACAGTTTGTGTTTAACAGGAGCTGATGGACTCATGATGTTGTGTGATGTGATGACTGTCCATGTGTTTGTTCAGATCCAACAGGTCTTCTCATCAAAGTGGTCGTCCTGCCGCTGACTCTGCTGTTGGTGATCGCTGCCCTTTGTTTCTACTATAAGGTACTGACACATGTCTGTTGTTTAGAGGACTGAGATGAAGCACTCGGTCTGTGTTTACTGACCTGAAGAAGAGGAGGAGTGATGCACTAACTCTCATGTGTGCTGTCATGTCTCTCCAGGCCAGCAGGGGGCAGAAGCCGGGCAGGCAGGAGGACATTGAGCTGGATTATTATAACGTGGGTGTTTCTGCAGCTGAAGGAGGGTCGACTGAAGAGGAAGGAGCTCAGGGAGCAGAGTAGGACCTCCAAGGAGCTCATCTCAGCTGCCTCACAACCCCCCATCAGCTCAGTCAAGGATTTTACACTTTTATACTGATGTTCCCTTTAAACAATACGGTTGGAATTATTAGATTACATTATAAACTCTATTTTTATTACTCTCAACATGAACAGAGCAAAACCAACAACTTGCCAGTCTTTTCAGACTTCCTGTCTTTGGCTCTCAGCTCCAAGGCCATTGGTTCCTACTGAAGACGTTAATTTTTAAAAAGTCCTCACAAATACTGTTAAAAGAAATTTACTCATACCCATGCCAAATTTTGATACGTAGAAAATTTTCAATTTACCAATAGGTTTCATTAGTCTGGCAATGACATAAACAAATGACAAAGACAGCAAGATATTGTGTCAGAGATGTTAATGATAAATCTTAACTTTTTCTATGTTGTCATTTTTTTTTAATTTGTACTGAAAATGTCATGTCTTCCCACCCTCTGTTGCACCATAGTTGGCATTATCAGTGCCCCAACAGTCTGGACCCAGATGACCCAAACAATTACCGCCCAATCTTTAATCTACCTTTCCTCAATAAAATTATGGAAAGAGCTGTGGCTGCCCAACACCATATGTTCCACAATAAACTATTTGAACCACTTCAATTTGGTTTGCATCACAGCACCGAAACTGCTGTCATCAACATCACAAATGACCTTCTCATTGCAATGGACAGCGGTCTCATCAGTATCCTCATCCTCCTTGACATCTCTGCAGCCTTCGACATTATCTTACACACCCTCCTTCTTTACAGCCTCTCTGAACTTATTGGCCTTACTGGCATAGCGCTCTCCTGGGGGCCATATTACAGAAACTTCCTAACCGGTAGATCCTATCCTTACTGCTTGGAAACCATGGTAATAAGGGTTAGGAACTTATTTAGGAAAAAGGCCATTACAGATGATCATTTACTAAGTCAATGGATTTCTCGACGGAGGTCACAAACACCTCCAATGCATCTGACTTGAAGTTCAATGATAGATTTTGTTTCCGCTCCATTTTCAGTGTACGTTTCAGAAAAAAAAACTAACAAAAAAACAGCAAAAAAAGCCGTTTAGCTCGGCGAAATTATTAAATAAGCATTGGTTGCTAGGTAACAGGCATAAAAGTTGATAACCGATGTTGGATCGAGTATTTAGGATTTCCTAACCTGGATAAGATGAAGTAAGATAAGACAGGATTCCGAAAGTTAGTTAGGATTTGCTTCTGTAATACCAAATTGAGAAAAATCCTATCTTAGACTCTTCCTGTCTTAAAAGACACCTATTAAACTTCTTTTCCAGTCCTATATTGAAGTTCTGTGACTACTGCATGGCAGCTTTAAATGATTCAAAGTTCAAAAAGAAATTTTATTTTCTTATACTCTCTCCATGAAGGCCTTCATTTCAGCCTCTGTCTGAAACAAGCTGCAAATACTGCTGTCTCTGGAAGCCCCCCCCCACCTCAAAGCCCGCTGTCTTCTGATTGGCCAAGCCTGAAGCATGTTACCAGGCTGTTGTTGTTGCCGGGCAGAACAGGCAGACTGAGCCGTTGCTTTGCCATTGCTATGCCCATATGTGGAACGGAGCTCTTGATAGAAAAAGCAGTTCAAAACAGAGCGTTCAGAACAGGAGGAAATCTGAGGTTTTTGCTCACAGGGATTTCTTTTAAATACTTTAACCTCATTTTTTTAAGCTTTGGCCATGTTTAACATAAACATCCAACATTGTAACATTGTAGATAAGTCATAAAATGTGGAAAAGCATAATAGGTCTCCTTTAACTTAAGACTTAAGATAGGAACTTTCTGTAATACGGCCCCTGGTTCCTGTCCCATCCCTTCAACAGGAAACGAAATATCACCTTCAAAGACTTCAGCTCCACGCTGGCACCAGTTAAAATGGTGTGCCCCAGGGATCTGTACTTGATGGACCCCTTCTTTTCAATATCTACATGCTACCCCTTGGCCAGATTACATGGACTTAATTTCCACTACTATGCTGATGAAACCCAGCTGTACATCAGCAACCAACCCTCAGCACAGCTCCCACCATTGCCACTTGTTAACTGCCTGCGAGACACAAAGACTTGGACACCTGCTAAATTCCTTAAACTAAAACAACAATAAAACTGAACTCATGGTGGTGGCTCCAGCGTCACTGCTGAAGAAGGTCTGTGACGTCCTCCTGGAGGTAGATGGCTGCTCCCTTTCCGCATTCCCTGAAGTCTGAAATCCGGGAGTCATCCTGGACTCACCCTTTCATTCTAGTCTCACATTAAAAACCAAACCAAATCTGCCTTCTACCATCTCAAAAACATTTCCAGGCTCCGGCCCTCACTCGCTGATTCTTTAGCTGAGACTCTTATCCACTTTTTCATCACACCCTGTCTTGATTACTGCAGAGGTATTCTGTTCGGTGTGCCCTGCAAAGCCCTCTACGGGCTCCAATAACTCAGCTGCTACAGTTTTAACACGCACTAAATCCTGGCAGCACATCACCCCGACCCTAATGCTGCTTCACTGGTTGCCAGTCTCGCATCACTTACAAAATCCTCCTCATCACCTATATATTCCTCCATGGACTTGCACCACAATACCTTACTGATTTTATCCACCTGCATATCCAAAAACGTCTCTGCCGTGTTGCGACAAGGATCTGCTTGCTATCCCCCATTCCAGACTACAGCCTTTTGGGGACAGAGTCTTCTGTGTTCCAGCCCCCACACTCTGATTCTTGATGCCCAAAGGCTGAAAAACACCTCGAAAGCATTACATTCCCACCAACATGCTTGACTGTGGGGATGGTATTCTTGGGGTTGAATGCATTTCCTTTCTTTCACCAAACAAAAGCCACGTCCCTGTGTCCAAACAACTAAATCTTCATCTCATCCGACCACAGAACTGACCAAAAGCTTTCTTCTTTATCCAGGTGAGCTTTTGTGTCTTGGAGAAGTGGAGTCCTCCTTGGTCGGCATCCAAAGAGACCAGCCTTGTGCAGTGTCTGCTGGATTGTCTGCCTTGAGATGTTGGTACCAGAGTTGCTCAGATTCATCAGGATAGCCTTTGTGGCGATCCTTTGTGCTGGTGATTCTTCTTGGCCTCTCACACTATTCTTGCTAGGTCATGGGTCACTTTTGGCTTCTTACCACACGCTTTGAGGTTTTTCACACTTTGGTCACTGGCACCTGAAAACACTTGGAAATGATTATATAGCCTTCCCCTGTCTTGTAAGCAGCCATAAAGCGCTACCGGAGGTCCTCAGTAAACTCTTTCGTTTCAGCCATGACTTGCAGTTGACTAGTAACTGACTAGAGAACTACTTCTTCAGCTGTTCCCAATTTATAGATGATTTATAGGTGATTAGAATGCTCTCTCATGGTAGAACTTGCAAGACAATTTCAAATGGTATAGAAACTTGCATTTTCTCAAAGTTTTGCAAAAATTTCAAGGGGAATTAATCATTTTGGACTTGGCATTTAAGTACAAATAAGTTGATATTTATTTGGCAAAATCCACACCGACCCAGGCCGATCTGAAACAATGTTAGCAGAGTAGACTACTGTTATAAATAAAATAAAATAACAGTGAAGCATTGGCACAGATTCTCTGAATTTGGTTACACAATATTTGATGCGCAAATCACAATTGGTGACAAGTGAAGAACAGGAATCCTGAGACAACACGTGTCACAAACGTGTCACAGAGCCACCTGCTGCTGGATCTGTAGATCTGGATGTATCGAGGATTGGTGACAATAATTTGGTGCAGTTTGAAGAAAAATACAGTAACACAGTGATCAAAGTCATGTAGCAAGCAGACAAAGTACAATGTTAAAAATCAGAGGCTGTTTGACTCCAGTTTCATCTGGTTAGCGAGCATGAATTGTCGGACTTTCCTTTAGTGCCCCCTTGTAGAGAGAAAGACTTCCTCCTCCAGGACCTTGAAAACATTTGTTCCCTCGATGGTTTGGCAGCAGGAGCACATTTAGCTCAGATCTGACTAAAAATCATCAGAATTACAGAAATGGGAGCAAGAATACGTTTTTGTAAAACATTTTGTGTATTTCATAATCATTAATTTTGTAAGTTAGGAATTTACTTCATTTTTTAAAATTAAGGTTTTAGCTGATTTCATAATCATGTTGAATTACTTAGTAAATAAGTTGCTTATTTTATAAGAATTTCTCTTTGCTTTGTACTTGAAGTATTTTTTTTCACACATTTTGCTGTGAAATATCCTCATAACTAACATAATAACCACAATAGAAATATGAAGACATGTGTAGCAGGAGCCTTCAGAGATCATAAAGATGAAGATATGAATAAAAATGAGAATTTTATTTTATGTGGAGAGGTCGTCACTTTGGGACGTCTGTTAAGTTAAAGACGATATGAGACATTTTGATGACAAAATAAGAAATAAAAAACACACTGTTGAACAGAGAGATGTGGAGAAGACTTTCACAAGACATTCACACTCACCTGTGCAGGTGTGTTTCCTGGGAGGTTCAATACACAGACTTGATTGACTTGAAGACTTTTTAAATTTGCAAAAACACTTGTGAATTCTCTGGGCAGATGGCCAACATCTCAACATTAAAAATAAAAAAATCCACATCTAATAAACATTGTCCATCCCCTTTGGCTGTGGTTGAGCACCAAGCATCATTAATGTGCACATAATGCTGAGGCAGATCGGAGGGTAGGTGTGGAGGTTTGTGGGGTGAAGAGTTCCTTGGGGTTTTGGGGGGGGTTTCACCATGGATGCACCAGTGGGTAAGGAGGGACATCTTGTAATCCTGAGTGAGACAGGAAGCCAGTCGAAAGTCCAACAACACAATTAAATTATAAAATAAAAGGCTGCCAAACGCTGAGAATGTAAAAGTCTCCAAGTCAATGAACAGGACTGTTCAAAAGTTTCAAGAAACGTTTTGCTGCAGTCATTGCTGACGTACTCAGCATTGACTGCCTGTTTTTAGTAATGTAATGATGTTTTTGGACTTTCTTTTGAGGACCTCGTAAAATGTTCTGACCTTATGGCTTCACAGTCAATGTTCTGCAGCCATAGATTGAACATTAAAAGCATGTATGTGCTATACAGGTGCTGGTCATATAATTCATCATCAAAAAGTTGATTTATTTCAGTAATGCCATTCAAAAAGAAACTTGGATATTATATTAATTCATTACACACAGACTGATATATTTCAAATGTTTATTTCATTTAATTGTGATGATTAAAACTGACAACTAATGAAAATCCCAAATTCAGTATCTCCGAAAATTAGAATATTACTTAAGACCAATACAAAAAAAGGATTTTTAGAAATGTTGGCCAACTGAAAAGTATGAACATGAAATGCATGAGCATGAAGTGCTCTAAAACTTCCTGGTAGACGGTTGCGTTGACCTTGGACCTCAGAAAACACACTGGACCACAGATGACATGGCACCCCAAACCATCACTGACTGTGGAAACTTTACACTGGACTTCAAGCAACGTGGATTCTGTACCTCTCCCTCTTCCTCCAGACTCGGACTTGATTTCCAAAGGAAATGCAAAATTTACTTTCATCAGAGAACATAACTTTGGACCACTCAGCAGCAGTCCAGTCCTTCTTGTCTTGATCAAGAGTGGCTTGACACAAGGAATGTGACAGCTGAAACCCATGTCTTGCATACGTCTGTGCGTGGTGGTACTTGAAGCACTGACTCCAGCTGCAGTCCACTCTTTGTGAATCTCCCCCACATTTTTGAATGGGTTTTGTTTCACAATCCTCTCCCTATGTATGCAACCAATGGTCGTCTTTTGGACAGTTGTCAAGTCAACAGTCTTCCCCATGATTGTGTAGCCTACAGAACTAGACTGAGAGGCCATTTAAAGGCCTTGAGTTAATTAGCTGATTAGAGTGTGGCACCAGGTGTCTTCAATATTGAACCTTTTCACAATATTCTAATTTTCTGAGATACTGATTTAGGGGTTTTCATTAGTTGTCAGTTATAATCATCAAAATTAAAAGGAATGAACACTTGAAATATCAGTCTGTGTGGAATGAATGTATACATTATACAAGTTTAACTTTTTGAATGGAATTACTGAAATAAATCAACTTTTGATAATATTCTAATTACAGTATTTGACCAGCACCTGTATATGTTGAATAAATGTTGTGTGGAAAGACTTGTATGGATTCTCTTCATTTGCATGATGCAATTGGAGAGTTGTATGTTATACACACTGAAATGTGTTTATAGCACACTGGTGTGACGGGGATTTCATGATTCCATCTTTAAGATACTGCCATGTAACTAATCTCACCAGCCTCTTGGGTATGGGGTCAATGGAAAGTAAATGTGAGTGATGCTTTTTTTTATGTCCAGAGGGGTCATGACTTTCACCACGTGCCCAGGACATGGGTCTCGTTCTATAGATCCAGATTGAGTGTCCCCTAGGGAACACTGATAGACACCATGTTCCTTTGATATAGTACTCCGACCCTGAGAGTAGGGTAAAAGCTGCATGAGCTGTTACACTGTAGCTCACTTGGATGATACTCTCTGATGTGTATGTGTCCCCGTGAGTTTCTTCTGCAGAAGACTTGAATAAAATTCACAGAAAGACAAGTGTTTGCTTGAGCTGTTTATTTAAACACGCTTTTTCTCACCACACTGGTAAATCCTTCTTTTGGCAAGATGGCCTACATTAGGACATTTCTGATGTGAGTTTGTTGTCAGAGCTGCTGAGAAGCAGACAGCAGTGTTAGAACCAGGTTTAATATTAAAAATATAGTGCTGACAGTAACAACTCTGCACACACAATCATTTTTTAGGTTAGCCTACCAACTGTATTGCACCAAACAATGTGCTTAAAAACGTGACTCCTGCTGTTTACATGAATAAATGCACAATATTATAGTGCATGTAATCAACTTCTGTTGCTAACGTTTTTCTCTCGGTCCAGGTTTTTTATTATTTTTCATCTATCATCACCCTGGCATAATGTTAGTGCTGCATAATGCTACAGATCTGACCGTTCTAAAAGCTTGGCTTTTATTTTAATGTCTTTACTCTTACTTCTGGGTCACCTGGCCCACCGACCAAGGTACGTTTTAACCGTTTGTTTTTTTGGCATAATTAAAAAAGGCAGAAACCAGAAACAGGCCGTTCTGCCGTTTTTTGAATTTTGGAGACAAACATATACAACACAACTACAGACCCATCTGTTTTTTTAATCAAAGCAAAAAAACGAATTTATTACTCAATATTTCCTTCATTGGTGGGTGGGACTTCATCAACACCCTGCTTCTGATTGGGTAGTGTCCTCTATCAGTTATGTCTGTGCTTCAGGCTACTTTTCAAAATTAAGGTTCTACCAAAGAATTTCTATTACTGCTGTGGCTCTCCCTCTTTGCCTTAAGACGATGCAATGTCTACACAAAAATATACATATAGTTGACAGTTTAATAGCAAAAACTAATTAAATAATGCAATAAATCCCCCTTCATGATTAAGACATTAATAGTTTTTAAGAGGTGGCGATTCACCTGTATGATCATTTTGGAGCATGTTTGTGATGAATCAAACAAAGGTATTTCTGTTATTTAGCATGACAGATTAAGGATTATTTAGTAAATACTTTGGACAGTAAAGTGGTCTCAATATTATTATCATTATTATTTTTCAACTCTTTATTGAACATGTTAAAAGACAACAACAAAAACTAAATAAACCAAACCAATCACAAAAAGATCATCAGCAGATGATCAAAGGGGGTAGGAAGAAGTTGGAATAATGTTTCTTTTCCTACCCCCACTTCAATGATATATTTAACTACTTAAATTGTTTGCATCACTTAGATATTCAAACTAAATAAAAATCAACAAAAAATAAAATCACTGTCCATCAAGGCTTCTTTTTTAAAATAGAAATTTCAGTTGCAATAAGTTTTTACATAACTTTAAATCATTATTCTGTTGTTCCACAGGATAACACCCTGGGTTGTTATACAGTGGAACTTACGATTTGTTCGAATTAATGGTTTACTAAACATTGATATTCCTCTGAAATTGTACGTGTTTTTCTCGTAGTTTAAAAGCTCTTGGATATTTCTAGGCAATTGGTTATTGTGTGCTCTAAAAACAATCTGAATAGTTTTGTAGTTCCCCCATACTTCCACACAATAGTCATGTAAGGGAGTATGAAGGAGCAGTATAGCATATTTAGAGAAGCTGATTGAATAGGTCTTTGGCTTTATTTAATATTGCTAATGACTTAGATATTTGGTTTTAATATACTTATGTGAGGTTTCCAACTTATTTGCTATCAAAACTTCCCAAGGAATTTTATTCCGGATACTGATCTAGCTCTATACCATTTATCATTAGTTTTTATCTTATCGTTAATTCAATTCAATTCAATTTTATTGATATAGCACCAAATCACAACAACA